CAGGTGGAGATGGAGGGATTGTCGGGGAAGATCGCCTTCGACAGCCACGGATTCCGGACGGATTTCAACCTGGACCTGTTGGAGCTTCTGAACCCGAAGGGACTGACCAAGGTCGGGACCTGGAATCGCCAAGACAAGGTCAAATTCACCCCTCCCCCCGAGGTCGACGTCAAGAACTCCTCCTCCCTCTTCGATCGCACCCTCGTCGTCACCACTTTCTTGGTTCGTGACTCTTCTATTAATATATACATATATTTTTTTTTCCGTTTAGAATAGTAGATGACAAATATATCGATTTCCTTTATTTTTGTTTATTTAGATACATTAAATTGTTGCGACGGAAGCCATATTTGTTCCTAAGACCGACCCGAGATGGCGCGAAAGTGCCCCGCAGTTATACAAGAAATCCTCGTAAATAAGAGGAGAGCGGAGAGGAGAAGAGGGTAAATAAGAGGTTCAGGATCTTTGCGAATCCGCACGAAAACATGAGAACCGAAAACAGTTTTGGAATGGAGCAAGAGGGAAAAAGCAGACAGGGATGAGTAAAGGAGTCACGCCCCCGCCGTGCCTTAGGGATCGCCCACGACCGAGAGGGAACCGCGACCAATGACCGGAGAAGCGGTAGAGTCCACGGGGGAAAAAAGGACTCCTATCGATTCTGATTTTCGCATTCCTCGCCTGTCTTTCCCCCTTCCCGACCCATTCGCTCCTGCTAAGTAAAGCCGCGACGGGACCTCCGTCCTGACCGCGCCAGTAGCCCGAGCCGAGTGATACGACCTCTAGCTGCGGCGAGTGTCGTACCGGCGATTCCCGACCGACCTTTCTCTTTTCTCATTTTTTGTCGAGTCCCGAGAGAGAAAATACATGAAATTACTGTCGTGTACATCGTGTACTTTTCTGGATCCCTCCCCCACACGGTGTCTCCGGCACCTGCCGAAAGGCCGCATCGCACCAAAGAAACGATCGAGGGGCCCCAATCTACTTGCGGGCGGTGGTGATTACCCGTCACTTAGGCGAAGTACCTGCCTGGTACTTCGAGCTTTAAACGGGGACACGTGAAATGTGTTTGGGGCATTTCGGCCTCGTAACATTGTCAATTCACGCGCTCGTACATGTCCACTTATTTCCAACGCACAATAGCTAAATTAAATTTGAAATTAAATTAATTTTCTTTTTACATGGTACCAGGGTCCACCCTACACAATGTTCAAGGAGTCGCCTCGACTGCTGACGGGGAACGACCGCTTCGAGGGCTTCTGCATCGACCTGATCGAGGAGATCGCCCATCGCCTCGGCTTCAATTACACCTTCAAGCTCGTGGACGACAAGCAGTACGGGAAGTACGTGAAGGACCCGAACCACGAAAAGGGCGGTTATTGGAACGGGATGATCGGGGAGGTCATCAATGGGGTAGGTTTTTATTATATATTTAAATATATATATTTTTTATATATGTTAAATATATATTATGTACATATTTTTTCGACTCCATCAAATTTCAGGAACTCTAATTTATGCGTTAAAAATTTAGTTAAAAGTTTATGGGTGTTGCTCTTCGATGTTTTTTATGTGTCTTATGCCTTCGAAACGACAATTGGCCATTACCAATCCATTTATTCACTTCCGTGGGTCTTTGTCCACTCGGCGGCTGTTCGAAGTTCGTTTTCTTCGCTTTCCGTAGGTGGCGGACATGGCGATCGCGGATCTCACCATCAACTACGTCAGGAGCGAGGTCGTCGATTTCACCACGCCCTGGATGAACATCGGTGGGTACTTAAATCCCTTTTTCTTTGATTTCTGCGAGGAATGCGATGAGACGAAAGTGAATGCGCTTTAGGGATCAGCATCTTGTACCAGAAGCCGACGAAGAAACCACCGAATCTCTTCAGTTTCCTCTCCCCTTTGTCCCTGGATGTGTGGCTCTACATGGCAGCTGCTTATTTCGGAGTCTCCATCCTTCTATTCCTCCTTGCCAGGTCATTTATTAATTCATTCGAAAATTAAAATACTAATTCAGTCGTCTTATTTGTGTGACGAATTTATTCGATCATTAACTTTCCCCCATCATCTGTGCCTGTCACGTGTTTTGCAAGTTTTTCTGCTGCTGTCTCGTGTAGATTCACGCCATACGAATGGGTGAACCCGTATCCGTGCGTGGAGGAACCAGAGGAGCTGGAGAACGAACTCACGCTGTCCAACGCCTTCTGGCACAATTGGGGATCCCTCATGCAGCAGGGATCCGACATCGCCCCCAAGTGAGTCTGACTCGCTCGGTCAGTGGTTCCACGTTGAAGCGATCGAACGATATTCTTCGAAAGGGTTAGGTTTCATACTAATTTCGCTGATGATCATCAAAGTTTGACTTGTCTCGTGCAGGGTAAATGAAAAGGACACGAGTTCTACTCCGAAATTCATCGCCCTTTTAAAAAAAAAACTTTTGACTTTTAACGTTTCGCTTAATATATTCAGTCCGACAACCGGGAATCTTCGGTATAGCGCACGTCGCGTTCTTGTCACGTCCCTTGAATAAGAGGGATTTCTTCAAAAGACATCACACCAAAATGTACTATTAGAGGTACAGGCTCACATCTGATGAAAATTTGAACATAATATATCCAGTAGTTTGAAAACTATACCTATTTACTCAATGTCGTGCACAAATGTAATATTTGTGGGGAAATGACCGGGCTGCAGGTGTAGCTTGCAGATTTACCACCCGGGACTGAATGTGTTAATTCAATGCAATAATTTCGCTCCGAGTGAAAACCTCCTAGTCACGGTTTTCCACTCTGAATGACTCGCCGCCCTCCGTCTAAAAGTAAAAACCTCTAAAGCACGGTTTTCCCCTCTCTATGACACCAGGGCGGTGTCCACGCGCATGGTGGCGGGGATGTGGTGGTTCTTCACCCTCATCATGATCTCGTCGTACACGGCGAACCTGGCCGCGTTCCTCACCGTGGAGCGACTGGAGTCCCCGATCGAGAGCGCGGAGGATCTGTCGCAGCAAGGGGAAGGAATGCGTGATGCACGGGGTACCATGTGCAAACGGAGTGGACCTGGGAATTTTACACTTCCAAGTTCGCAATTGCACTTCGTTTGAAGTTCGATGCACGATGATTGAGGTGTTCGTGCTGATATTCTTCTTCGGCGATTTGCGATTGAGTGACATGCAAGAATCAGGACAAATGCCTGGGCATTTCAATCCCTATGCAGCCCTGTTGAAAGGCTTTCCTTTTTCAGATGTCTAGCAAAAATGCCTAGAATTTGAAATGTATTGGACATGATACAGCCCTGAATATTCCATACTTAGGATTTAAGATGGAATATTTCTAAATTTCTAAAACCCTTAGCAGATTGAGCCAAAGTTTCTGGCCTCTACTGCTCACTATTGATTGCGCTATCAAGACCGAAATAAAGAAAATATCGTGTGTTAGGCCGACGTTTTAGTTTCGATTGTTGGGGATCCATGGAGCACATGTTCAAGGCTTACAACGGTTGGATAACCATCGATCAGACGGATACACGGCCGATTTACCCTCTCTCTAGAAATCCTTCTGGAAGCAGATTCTGAAGGAGCTGAAGTTCGCCCTGAAGTGCCGCGGCAGCACGAAGCCCGTGAATAAGGAGGGCCTCTCGCGGGGGCCGAGCATCCCGAGGTTCCCTGTGTATTCGTACAGTGGCGGGGTCCGGAGGGAAATGGTTTCCTGATTTCGTCCCCGAGTGCTCTTTTTTTGTCGAGATGAAGGATTCTGAGAAATAAATTTTTTTTCTCGTGTTAATTAGTGGATATTTGCTTTGTTTCCTTTCCGCGATTTCGCTGAACTGGGTCCTAATATGCATAATATTATTATTAAATGCGCTAGGCTTGTGGCAACCGTGCTTGCCTTGAAGTGAACACGGTTGCCAGTCGGCTGAGCTGAGACTCGCTTGGTGCACCTGAAGAGGAAGGATCGCAATAGATTTCCGCTATCCCCAGCTCTTCCATGTGGAACCCAAGCTTTTTGTGAAGAATGGGTTTTTGACGATTGCCGAGACTTGAAGATGAAGCACTGTCGGATATAAAAAATGGCACAAGGCGTAGAATTGCCTCAATTTTTTTTCGCACTGCCAATTGCTAATCTGCGGTCTCGTGCTTGTCTTAGCCTGGTACACCCATTTTATGAAGAGAAATTAAAAGAGTATTTCCGTTTAGGTGTTGTAGGGTATAATGCATTCCGTTTCACACCGTTTCATCGATATCACAAATAATATATTTCTACTTTCAGTTATTGCAATTTTGTGGGAAATCGTTGAGACTTGAGACAGTCATGTGTCTCGGCGTGGCACTGCTCATTTACGCATGTTGCCCTTGGAGAATTCTATATAATAATAATAATAATAAATTTAAAAAGTTATTCCCGAGCTTCAGCAACACTTGTAAACTTTTCTGCAAGCTAAGCGGATTAAGTGACGTCATCAGTATGGATGCTTGCATGCTGCCGGGACTTCGCTGGCGGAAAGAGGTCGGTTCTTTCCGAGTGCGTTTGGCCGTGGATTCGACGAAACCAGGGGTGGTTACTCGTGCCGGAAGCTGCCAGGGAAATTCTTCGCAGGGGAAAAACATATTTGAAGGAAAAAGCGAGTTCGGCAAAGTGTTCCCTCGTCCGGGGCCAGTTGGCTGGCATTTCTTAGGCCTTGTCCGCGAGTTTCGATTTCGAAGAATATTTTGTGTGTTTGGTGGGAGGCCTTTCTTTCGACTGAAGGTGTGTGTCTCCGTCGTTTTGACGAAGAAACCCCTACTCGGACTTGCTTCGATCGTGTGGATCAACGCCTGCACTCGTGAGTCGTAGGCCTAACGCCCCAGATGGAAACTTTCCGAGTTCGGCCCGATCATTGGCTGGCTTAACTGCGAATTGCAGGTGATTTGATTGGCAGGCCTAGCGAGTTGGCACAGGCATCGACCTGAGGATTTACCGGTTTTTCACCTATTTATCGAATTGGGGTGGATTTTTGAACAGAGCGCTATCCGATAATGCAGCTTTATTTATCGGATTTATAATGCATTTTCTCTGAAATAAAGCTGCATTATCGGATAATACTGTGTTCAAAAATCCACCCTTAGATTTAAAAAATTTTGAATCTCCCAAAGAGGTTGGAAAGTGAGCAATGACCAATGCCGTGGCCTTTTCGGACCTCAAGCGCGCCAGGCAATCCTAAAGCAGATCCTAAAGCAGCTGCAAATGCTGTTCTTGTTTTAGGATTTCTTATTGGGAAACTCTTCCTGTGATTGTGAGATGAGCTCACATTCATTTAAGGCGCTGGTGGCAAGTAGCACTGGCAAGTACAAATGAATTGTTGGATTTCCGCGAAGGCAAATTCAACCAGACGGAAAAAAAAGGAACAAAACACTCCCGACATCTACGGATATTTTCCTGGAGGAAATGTTTGTTCTGCAGACGTTGGTAGACCCCGTTAATCGGTTCGCAGGCAGGAAACTGGTTTCTGTTGTAAGGCCGTGTGAATTCATTCTCTGCCATGTCCTATTCAACATTAACTAATGCATGATTTCTCTTAATTTTCACCTTTGGCATTCTCGGGAACCGATATTCAATACGGTGAAAAAAGTTTATTTAAAAATTTATTTCCGAAAGGAATAAGAGGGAAATGGAAACGCTGCCCCCCCCCCCCTCCTCGCATTTTTCGGCGTTCTTTAATGCATTGCGTGCACATTTTAAATTATTTTTAGTTTTTGTCCCAAAAAAAAATTCGCAATCGCCGAGGCATTCGCGAGTTGTCCGGTCGGATGTTGCTGGTGGAGCATGAGAAAAGATTTTCTTGCTGGTCTCATCGCGCTGCAAGATATGGAAGCGATTCAGGATTTCGATACGTCAGGGAGCCGTCAGCATCGTTCTTTCCTTTCGTTCTCGAGGAATCCCGTCGACTTTCCTCCGGAGCATCCACGATGGGAATCCGAGAATCACTCATCGTTTTTCGAAGGTCTTCTCGTCCTGGCGTTTTAAACGCTTCGGATTCCCTGCGTCTGTCGGCTTACCGTGGAGATCGGTCGAGGTCTCGCCGTTCCGAAGCGTCAGCAGCAGGTCAAGAAATGATATGGAAGGACTTCTGGAGGGAGAACTTGATGGGTGAGTGGTACCGATTCATCCAGGCGATGGAGTTGGTCGGGGAAATTGTCAAAGAATTATCAAATGGATCTTTCGAAGTTCTTTCATCCCTCGCTAGATGTCTCTGAGGCGTGCACGCTCGCCCGCACTCTTTCGTTTTCGAATTTCGTTCTTCTAATGTTGATATCCTCTCACCCTTTTTAAATATTTATGTTTCCATCGACCAGTGGAGTTCTGCACTTCTTTTGGCATTTACGGGGGAAAGTGAAAACAGGTAGTCGGGGCTGATTAAAAATTTGATTTTTAAAAAAAGGAAATTGTATTTCTTTAAGCACGTTATTCTGAAAAAATTTTTTTTTACCACGAAACGGCGTTCCATTAAAAATTTGTTAATTGGTACAAATGACCTAGCTACCAACCTAACTGAAAACTTAATATGGGGGATCCGAAAATGGCGACCAATTAATTATTTACATGAATATGTGGATATTTATATAGTCAACTAATAATAGTCAATATATTGAAAGCTTGTGGAAAAAAAATTTTCAACCCTTCGAAAATCCATGATAATTCACGCTGCAACAACTTTTTTCCCCGACGCACTTGAAGAGCCTGCGAAGCCTCATTGTCACATTTCGGATTTCAATGTAAACATTTAGCGGGAAATCGCAGCGACAACAGGCCCCACTGTAAATAATTTGGATCGCAGCGGCAAACATCGCCGGCAAACCAACGCCGCGGATCGACGTCTCGACATAAATATTCCCACTTTCCAGACGGAATTCATACGGGAACACCGCGACGACCATGTGTGAATACGCGCCGACGTAGATAAGGAACCAAAAAGAAGCCACGTATGCCAGGATTCTAGTTTCGCCCCGCTCCCAAACGCGCCCGCTAATTATCGACTTTCAGGCGAACCACGAAGCAGAAAAGAAGGAGGAAGACGGATCCACTGCGTGCACCATGCACGACCCAAGTCCACTCCCTCTCGCGGTCCTCGTAGTACTGATCGGCTCCGTCCGTCCTCTGCCTCAGGCCATTCGCGTCGGTGAGCGAAACACCCTCCCGCGCAAGTGAAAACGTCCCGCAGATGGTGATCATTCGGTTCTCGCTCGACAGGGGCGCTACTGGGCGACAGGGACCCCGGGCTGGAGATCGCCTTCAAGTATGGGCTGAGAACCGTGAATGGGAACTATTCCCTCCTTCCCGACACGACCCTGATACCCCAGGTGGATTGGATCCATCCTCGCTCCAGCTGGGATGCGGAACAACGAGGTCAGTACCTTCTGTACTCTTCCAGTACTCGCGATCAAAGCGGACGTCAGGAAAGAATGTTACGCAACTCGGCTATTTTTGCACTCATAACGTTGACCGAAGCTTCAGACAGGCAGAGGCATCAATAGGGAGTTTGTAGATGACGTCTTGGAGATAAAAGAGACATCGCGGAATTTCTAAATACTCTCCTCGTGACTCCATCGTCTTCTCTTTAATACTCTCTTGATTAAATCGCGTACTGGGAGAATACAGAATCGCTCGATTTTGATGATGAACGCGGTTCGTTACTCCGCGGGTCGAGTCGCGACCCCCATAAAAGACCCCGACGTTATATCGGGCTTTCACTGTATGTTTGAACCATCGAAATAACGTTTTGTTACGTTACATAATTTACATACATAATTTTACAGCCGGAGATAAGAGATACAGCCGATGTAAGGCCTCGTCCGCATCAGAAAGTCTTCCATTCGATTTTTCTTTGCAAGACGACTTGTTAAGAAAACTCTCTAATGGAAATTTTATATGCAAGCGTTTCAATACTTTGGGAGATTTCTTCGAAAGTTTTCTTTTAAAAGATTTTTTATTCATTCTTTCATCGCCCATGCGAGTAAACTACCTGGTAAACTGACCTCGAGAGACGATAGTGTGCAAGATGCTGAAAACCGGGGTGGCCGGAATCTTCGGCCCGATGGAGCCCAGCGCGGCCTCCCACGTCCAGAGCATCTGCGACGCCTTCGAGATCCCCCACGTGGAGATGCGCTGGGACTACAAGGAGGAGAAGGAGGTCTACACGGTCAATCTCCATCCGCATACGAGGTCGCTGGGGAAGGTGAGGCCGGGGGAGGCTCGCATGCAGGGTTGTTCGATTGAGTGGCTCGTTTGCAGGGTTGTTCGATTGATGGGCTCGTTTGCTTTGCACGATGGTTGAAATTTATTTTTAAAAACTCTTTTCATTGTTTCTCGGGGGTGTCGGGTATTAATGTCGGATCTAATCGTGTGTAAAATCTTCGAGATGGGCCATTATTACATTGGGTGAATATTTCACCTACTCGTGGATGGATGCTGCAGCTCTTGTGGTGTCATCAGACGCTATGATGTTGCTCGTATATGACCGCTCCCACATGAGTAAATTTGCTATGAGCAGATCATTAGACGCTATGAGAAGACCTTGTGAGTTTTCAGGACAACGTTTGCTTTTGACTACCATTTCTTTCTTTTTTTCTTTTTTTTTTTACTGGTTGGAGGGACTTTATTGAGGAAGCTTAGAGGATGTCAGCGAAGTCGAAAATGTGACAGACACGAGTGGATGCAAAGGGCTGGCAAGGAGTCGATACAAAGGGTGTCTAAGCCAATATTTTCCCAGAATCGTAAGTAGGAGATCCCCATCGTTTCCGTGCTCTTCTGAGGACGAATCGTGACATCTTCACGGAACTGCTGCCTCCCGTCGAACCCAAAAGCAAGAGTCGATACCGCCACGCGGGAAGCGCCATATTGGCTGATCATACCAACAATCAGGGGGCATTCTTGCCATGAGCGATCGCAAGTCCCTGTTTACACGAACTCATAATTCATATGGGAGCAGTCACATATGAGCAAAATCATAGCGTGTGATGGCGCCTCAAGTGTGTGTCTTGTAATGCACAGGAGCAGCGTTCGGCTTATCTATCAAGGTTACAAGAATTTGTTTGAGAAAACAGTCCATATGTTATATTGTAAACCCTGCCACAACGCAAAAATGCCTTCTAATAGAAAAACGCGTAAAAAAAAACTTGGAAGCCCTAACCCGAAAGGTTGAGAGACTCACCGTTCCCCCAGGCCTACTACGACGCGGTGGTGGCCTACCGCTGGAAGTCCTTCACCGTCGCCTTCCAGGACGACGAGAGCCTCCTGCGGCTGAAGGATGTCATCCAGGCCACGGACGGGAAGCAGCTGCACGAGAGGGTGCGGGTGAGGCGGCTCCCGAAGGATCTCAGGGATTTCAGGTGGGTCTGGTCACTTTCGAGAGGAAATTGGGGAAACAACGCGAGACGGGATTTTGTGGCCAATTTTTTATTTTTTTTTTCATTTTAAATTGTTGCCGTTTCGTAAGTCGACAACTGTTGCGAGTCCCACGGGGGGACAGGGGATTATTGGGCGGAGATGGACCCTCTGGCCCGGAAACGGTCGAGGAGAGGCAGTCTTCCCGTCGTTGCCAGTCTGGAGCTGCGAGACGCGAGAAGAGATCCAAGAACGGATTGAAATTTTGGGTTCAACGCGAGTGGGCCCTAATCTCTTTTAAACGCCACGTGCTCGCGTTATGAACGCGACCGCGATGTCGAGGTCGAATGAACTTTATCCCTTTTCCTGGCCGGGATATGCAAACACTACGAGGATGTCGACGTAAAACGCCGACGCCAAGGAAAGGGTTAAAGAAGGTGCAACGGGGGTCGCAGTTGGTTGATGGCGCGTGTCGTCCCATTCCGCCGTTCGTGCTGGACCGTTGTCATCTGTGCTGGCGGGGAGGAAGCTCCGAGTTCTGTGAAGCTCGGGCAGATGTCAGGCGGGGCGCGACGACGGCCAAGGCCCTTTGACGCGACCGATGACACGAAAGTGTGACGGTGTAATTTACACCTGTTCGTTATGAATTCCTCAGATTGGGATAGCAAATCCTAATTGCAAAAAAGCTCACCATGACTTTCTATTTTTATTTCTATAGCTATTTCGGCACCCTATGCAAAGAGACTCCCAAGCCCCCCCCCCCCCCCCCTTCATCCCACTAATCCTCTGAGAGGAGTCGACCCTAGCGTTCAAAAAGATACTGAAACGGACGGCATTTTCACTTTCTGAAGTAAAGTTGAGGTTGGCATCCAGCATCACTTCATTCATTCTGGCAAGTTTTGGCATCCATGGTGAATTTGCTGCCCGCGAGGAGGCACATGCCTAAGGTCGGCCTTTGTTGCATTCATTCTCCATGGGGAAAAAAATGAAGAAAAAAAATTTAAACCTCTAAAAATCTAAACTTCCAGTACCCTTCCGTTAGTGTTGGTACATCCAACTGCAGAGCATCCCACCGTGGCAGAAAAAATCGTAGCGCACACATAGAGGGATTTTGAATTCCTATTTATGACGTGTGGGCGCCCACACTCAGTCATGAACCAATATGGCTGGTATGGTATCACGTGACAGCGATCAGCCAATAGGAAGCCACAGTTGGCCGCATCCCCGCATACAATAGCTGTCCAGACCTTGTTCCGATACCAGTCAAAAGTACCGGTACCGGTACTTCGGTAGTACCAGTCCTTTCGACTGGTATCGGTAAGCAGTTCTGGATTTTAAGTGTGAGGCGAATAATCGAAGAATCTCAGCGTTTTGTGCGCCGCTACCAATGGTGTTTTCGCCAGCCGATCCGATTTTTATTTTTATTTTTGCCTGTTTGGGAACCGATAATTATTTTTAGGTATATATATTTCTCAGAGGAACAATAATCAAGATAATTTTATTTTAGTCATGGTTTCAGAAATTTCAGTCATTTTTGACCACATAGTGACCCATTTCCTTGATGGACGCTTTGATCACGTTTCAACGTGTGAAAGCACGTAACGTTAGCACGTAACGTTAGCCTACAGGACATGTTGGGACGTTTCGAGACATATAGAAAAACGATATAAAACAAAAAACTTTTGTCAACAACTGATCGCGTTACGAGTGGCGAAAGAGACAGCCCGCAAACACCGCACGTGACACCCTATGACGCCCCGTGACACCCTTCGCGTGACTTCACGTTCGAAGAGACTTCCTAGAGGGACAGGAAACTTTTTTTTCAGGTTTGGAAAATCATGCGATGTTTTAACTCATTCGCTGCGGTTGGATAGTTTTCGCTCTTGCCCGAGGGAAATAATCGGGATTGGGAAGAAAATATAACGAAAAAATGACGAAATAACGAAAAAATGACGAAATGAAAAAATGACGAAATAACGAAAAATGACGAAATAACGAAAAAATGACGAAATAACGAAAAATGACGAATTAACGAAAATATGACGAAACAAACCGAAAAGTTATTATCGTAATGTAAGTAATTTTAAGTAATTTTCGTCAATGACATCTTCATTTTTCGTTCTCGTCCACTTTTCCTCCATGAAAAATGTCTGAAAATTCCGCTGAGGAAAACAAGGAGAGCGGAAACTCGCCTTTTTCAGATCGGCGGCTGCCAACGAGATGGAATGCAGCAAAAAAAGGGAGGATGGAAACCGCGGTCGGTTTTTGTCGTCCAAGGAAATCGAGCGGGGAGATATCGAGAGGTCTGTCGGCTCTTTTGCATGCACGAAGGTCTAAATAAATCGTTCCAGAGCTATCGAGACGTGGAGGAAGGGGGAGGGGTGGGGGGAGGAATCCATACAGGGCATAATTGGTGGCTTTAGTCGCAAAAGATCGTAACATGAAGATTTGAATCGAAACGTCGAAGTGCCTCCAGCGAGAGATGCATCGAAACGCCCTCGTCCGAGGAGAGTCGCTCTCAGGACGCCCCTTCTCTCTGTAGACCGACCCTGCAGGAGCTGAAGAACCTGGGCGAGACGCAGATCGTCGTGGACCTGCAGACGGACCTGATCCGGGATTTTCTCTGGCAGGCGCAGCAGGTCGGGATGCTCACGGACAAGCAGAGCTACCTCTTCACGTCGCTCGTGAGTTCGTTTTTCGCTCTTTCCCGGGGGTGGGGCGAGGTGGAGGCGGGGTGGGGCGAGGTGGGGGAAATCGAGGGAGTAATCCATACCGTGAAACGCATGAAACGAAGAATTGAAAAAAAAAATCAAAATGTGAACTAAAAATGAATTAAATGTATACATACAATATTCGGAAATTTTTGTATATAATTATGCTACAGGTCAAGATATGAAGTGTAACTACATAAATGAATAGCAAACGTAAAAATATAAATATATTAACGTATGATTTAAAAAGGATGCGTGTGGATGATTTTAGGACTTGCACACGCTGGACCTGGAAGACTTCAAATACGGCGGGACGAACATCACCGGCTTCCGCCTGGTGGACGTGACCCGACGGAACGTGTCGGACATCGTGATGGCCTGGATCGCCGGGGAGAGGGAGTCCGGGCGGACGGTCAACTTCACCGCCAGGACGCTCAGGGCAAGTCAGGGGATGAATGGGGGACGATTTGGGGCAAGTCGGGGGCAAATGGAGGGATTAATTTGATTTTTGTTTCGGTTGATCAGACGGAGACGGCGTTGATGTACGACGCGGTGCTGGTGTTCGCTCGGGCGCTGCACCAGCTGGATCACAGCCAGAAGGTGGATGTGAAGGGGCTGGACTGCGGGCAGAACGACGCTTGGGAGCATGGCAACTCGCTTACGAATTATATGAAGATGGTGAGGGGTGGATGCTTAAGCTCTTTTTCTCCTCTTTTTTTTTGCGAACTCGAAGTTTTTTCGTCTCGGAGTGAATATTTATTAATTATGCGCTGAATCGATTAATTAATTAATGATTAAACACGAAACCAGGTGGAGATGGAGGGATTGTCGGGGAAGATCGCCTTCGACAGCCACGGATTCCGGACGGATTTCAACCTGGACCTGTTGGAGCTTCTGAACCCGAAGGGACTGACCAAGGTCGGGACCTGGAATCGCCAAGACAAGGTCAAATTCACCCCTCCCCCCGAGGTCGACGTCAAGAACTCCTCCTCCCTCTTCGATCGCACCCTCGTCGTCACCACTTCCCTGGTTCGTGAGTCTTTTATTTTATTAATATATATATTTAGGTAAATAAAATTGTTGCGACGGAAGGGGTGTTTGTTCCTAAGACCGACCCGAGATGGCGCGAAAGTGCCCCGCTGTTACTCATGAAATCATGAGGAGAGCAGATGAGTTCAGGATCTTTGCAAATCCGCACGAAAAACAGGATGAGAACCGAAAACAGTTTTGGAATCGGTCAAGAGCGAAAAAGCAGGGACAGATGCGAAAAAACGTGAAGCAGAACGCGCGCATGGAAGAGAGGAGTCACGCCCCGGGTCCCCGCCGCACCTTAGGGATCGCCCACGACCGAGAGGGAACTGCGACCAATGACCGGAGAAGCCGTGGAGTCCACGGGGGGGAAAAAAGGACTGTCATTATTTCGATTTTCTCATGGCATTTCTCGCCTGTCTTCCTCTTCCCACTCCCCCTCCTCCCCCCTTCCTTCCCGCTGAGTGGAGCCCTGACAGAGTTGATGATTCGACCTTTGTCCTGACTCCACCATTAATCCGAGCAAAGTGATGCGACCTCTAGCTGCGGCGAGTGTCGTACCGAGAGGTCGTACCGGCGATTCCCGACCGACTTCTGACGGTCACCGGCCGTGTCTCGGAAAAGTGGACTCCACCTTCATTTTCCTCGTCCCTCAGGGTCCCTAGTGACGGAAACCCTCAAGGAGGAACTCGTCGCGCCCGGACCTCTATTTTCTCATTTTTGTCGAGTCCTGAGAAAGAAAAACAGGAAAAATATTAAAAACCACTGTTTTACGTGTACTTTTCTGGATCCCTCCCACACGAAGTGTCTCCGGCACCAGCCGAAAGGTCACATCGCACCAAAAACTGATAGAGGGACCCCAATTTATCGGCGGCCCGTGGAAATTACCTGTCACTTAAGGCGAAGTACCTGTCTGGTACTTGTCGCTTTAAACGGGGACACATGAAAGATTTTTCGGGCATTTCGGCCTCCTAACAATGTCGATCGATGCGATCGTGTTCACTTATTTCCAACGCAAAACAGCTTGGTAATGGATGCAAGTAAATTTACTCATGTCATTTGTGTGATTTTCAGTTGTATTGCTAATGTGTGTTTCTTTCGAACTGTCCAATCGCATAAAAATCTATTTTCATTTTAAAATAAAATTAAATTAAATTCATAATTTTATTCGATATTTTTTTTTTTTACATGGTACCAGGGTCCACCCTACACAATGTTCAAGGAGTCGCCTCGACTGCTGACGGGGAACGACCGCTTCGAGGGCTTCTGCATCGACCTGATCGAGGAGATCGCCCATCGCCTCGGCTTCAATTACACCTTCAAGCTCGTGGACGACAAACAGTACGGGAAGTTCGTGAAGGACCCGAACCACGAAAAGGGCGGTTATTGGAATGGGATGATCGGGGAGGTCATCAATGGGGTACGTTTTTATTATATATGTATAATATGTAAATATATATATTTTTTCCGACTCAGCATGATTTGAGGGATTCTAAGTTTAATTTATATGTTTAAAATTTAGTTAAAAGTTGATCGGTGTTGCTCTTGGATGTTTTATGTCTGATGCCTTCAAAACGACAATTCGCCATTGCCCATCCTTTTGTGCACTTCCGTGGGTCTTTGTCCACTCGGCGGCTGTTCGAAGCTCGTTTCCTTCGCTTTCCGTAGGTGGCGGACATGGCGATCGCGGATCTCACCATCAACTACGTCAGGAGCGAGGCCGTCGATTTCACCACGCCCTGGATGAACATCGGTGGGTACTTGTTCCCTTTTTCTTCTTTTTTTTCTGCAATGAATGCGAAGAGACGAGAGTGAATGCACTTTAGGGATCAGCATCTTGTACCAGAAGCCGACGAAGAAGCCACCGAATCTCTTAAGTTTCCTCTCACCTTTGTCCCTGGATGTGTGGCTCTACATGGCAGCTGCTTATTTCGGAGTCTCCATCCTTCTCTTCTTCCTTGGCAGGTCATTTATTAATTCATTCGGTAATTAAAATATAAATTCAATCGTCTTATTTGTGTGACGAATTTATTCGATCATTAACTTTCCCCCTTCATCTGTGCCTGTCACGTCACGTGTCACGTGTTTTGCAAGTTTTTCTGCTGCTGTCTCGTGTAGATTCACGCCATACGAATGGGTGAACCCGTATCCATGCGTGAAGGAGCGGGAGAAGCTTGAGAACGAACTCACGTTGTCCAACGCCTTCTGGCACAATTGGGGATCCCTCATGCAGCAGGGATCCGACATCGCCCCCAAGTGAGTCCGACTCGCCCGGTCGATGGTTCCACGTTGAAGCGATCGAACGATTTTCTTCGAAAAGATTAGTTTTCATTCTTATTTCGCTGATGATCATCAAGGATTGGCCTGTCTCGTACAAGGTAAATGAAAGGACACGAGAAGTTCAAAGTGACTCTACATTCTGAAATTTCTTGACATTTTTGCACTTTGTACGTTTAACGTTGCCCTTTGCATCTTCAGTCTCGCAACCGGAAATCTTCGGTATAGCGCACGTGGCATTATTATCACGAACCCTTGCATAAGTGGGACTGCTTCACCAGACATCACACCAGAATGGACTATTTGAGGTACAGGCATCTCCACATCTGGTGAAAATATGAACAAATATATCCTGTAGATTTTAAAGTTATGCCTATTTAATCAATGTTGTGCAAAAAGGTAATATTTGGGGGAAAATGACGGGCTGAAAGAGTAGCTTGCAGATTTGCTACTCCGAACCGAATGTGTTAAGTCGATGCAATAAATTCGCTCCAAGTAAAAACCTCTAAGGCACGGTTTTCCACTCTGGATGACACCAGGGCGGTGTCCACGCGCTTGGTGGCGGGGATGTGGTGGTTCTTCACCCTCATCATGATCTCGTCGTACACGGCGAACCTGGCCGCGTTCCTCACCGTGGAGCGACTGGAGTCCCCGATCGAGAGCGCGGAGGATCTGTCGCAGCAGACGAAGATCAAGTACGGGTGCGTCTCGGGGGGGTCCACACACTCCTTCTTCCAGGTTTGTCCATCCTTTTTCTTTGCCAAATTTTCTTTGTTAGAGCAATGAGGAAATTGATTGGACGACGTTCTCAAGGCTGTCATCTGCTATTTGCTTTTCACTGCCGGATTCAACCTGATTGTGGCTAAATTTTAATTGCGTCAAATTTGGCTGGAATGCGTTCCATTAGATAGGAAATTTAATAATATAAATGTCGAGAAGACGATTGATGAACAAGAGAAAAAATTTTGCCTCTTAGAGCTCGACGTTGCCGACGTTCAACCGGATGTACAACTTCATGGAAGCTCACCCGGACGTGCTGACGAAGAACAACGAGGAGGGGATGGAGCGGGTGATGAAGAGCAACGGGATGTATGCGTATCTCATGGAGAGTTCCACGATCGAGTACATGGTGGAGAGGAACTGCGAGTTGGCGCAGATTGGGGGGCTGCTGGATAATAAAGGATATGGGATTGGGCTGTCGCTTGGTGAGAGGTTTTTGGGGTTTTTCGGGTGGTTTTGGGAGGTTTTTGGTGATTTGTGGGGTTTTGGGGTTAGGGTCGCCCTATACGTCGGTGATTTCGGAGTCGATCTTGTCGATGGAAGAAGCGGGAATCATGCACAAGCTCAAGACCAAGTGGTGGAAGGAGAAACGAGGAGGCGGGAAATGCAAGGCAAGTGCGGAAATTTCGTTTTTCGTCTCAACTTTCGTTGTTTGACGGTCGCCGGGATGGCAGATGGCGAGCGGCGGGAGCAGCAAACCGGCGGAGTTGGGACTGGCGAACGTCGGGGGTGTGTTCGTCGTGCTGCTTGGGGGAATGGGGATCTCGTGCGTCATCGCGGCGGGGGAGCTCCTCTGGGGGTCTAAGCAGACGGCGGAGAAGGAGCAGGTGAGTGGATAAGAGGGAAGTGAGGGAGCAGGGTTGTCGGGTCGTATGATTCGGTTTCGTTGTTCTGGCTATGGCGGTTGTTGAGGAACTATGAAGAGGGGGAGGGGGAGGGGGACGGAATGCATGTTACACGGGGCACCATGTGCAAACGGAGCGGACCTGGGAATTTTACACTTTCAAGTTCACAATTGCACTTCGTTCGAAGTTCGATGTACGATGATTGAGGTGTTTGAGCTGATATGCTGCGTCGGCGATCTGCAATTGAGTGACATGCAGAAATCCGGACAAATGCTGCAGCAGTTCAATCCCCATGCAGCCTAGTGGAAAAGCTTTCCTTTTTCAGATGTCTAGCAAAAATGCCTAGAATTTGAAATGCATTGGACATGATACAGCCCTGAATATTCCATTCTTAGGATTTAATATGGAATATTTCGAAAGCCCTTAGCAGATTGAGCCAAAGTTTCTGGACTCTACTGCTCACTATTGGTTGCGCTATCAAGTCAGAAATAAAGAAAATATTGTGTGTTAGGCCGACGTTTTAGATTCGATTGTTGGGGATCCACGGAGCGCATGTTCAAGGCTTACAACGGTTGGATAACCATCGATCAGACGGATACACGGCCGATTTACCCTCTCTCTAGAAATCCTTCTGGGAGCAGATTCTGAAGGAACTGAAGTTCGCCCTGAAGTGCCGCGGCAGCACGAAGCCCGTGAATAAGGAGGGCCTCTCGCGGGGGCCGAGCATCCCGAGGTTCCCCGTATATTCGTACAGCGGCGGGGTCCGGCAGGAAATGAATGCCTGATTTCGTCCTTGAGTGTTCTTTTTTGTCGATATGAAGGATTCTGGGAAATGCGAATTTTTCTTTCTCCTGTATTTCAGTGGTAATTTGCTTTGTATGCTGCCACAATATCGCTGATTTGGATCCTACTATGCATAATAATATTATTATATGAGCGGGGCTTGTGGCAACCGTGCTTGCCTTGAAGTGAACACGGTTGCCAGTCGGCTGAGCTGAGACTCGCTCGGTGCACCTCAAGAGGAAGGGTTGCTATAGATTTCCGCCATCTCCTGCTCTTCCATGTGGAACCCAAGCTTTTTGTGACGAAAGAGATTTTGACGACTGCCGTGACTTCAAAATATTGCACTGCCGGAAATAAAAAATGACACAAGACATAGAATTGCTTTTCAATTTTTTTGTGCCGCTAATCTGCGGTCTCGCGATTGTCTGAGTCTGGAATCCCCAATCCAGGAAGAGGAATTAAAAGAGTTCTTTCGTCAAGGAAGAATACAATCCAATGCATTCCTTTTCAAGTCATCATCGATATCAGAAATAATATATTTCTACTTTCAGTTATTGCAATTTTGTGGGAAATCGTTGAGACTTGAGACAGTCATGTGTCTCGGCGTGGCACTGCTCATTTACACATATTGCCCTTGGAGAATTCTTAATAATAGTAATAAATAATAATAATAATTTTTCCAGCGCTTCTGCAACACTTCTCAACTTTTCTGCAAAAGTTGATTAAGTGACGTCATCAATATGGATGCTTGCATACCGCCGGACTTCGCGGGCGGAACGAGGTCGGTTCTTCCCGAGTGCGTTTGGCCGTGGATTCGACGAAACCAGGGGTGATTACTCGTGCCGGAAGTCGCCAGCGAAGGTCTTCGCAGGAAAAAACGTTTTCGTAGAGAAAAGGCTAGTCCGGTGAAGTCTTCCCTCGTCAAGAACGTCAGTTGGGTGGCATTTCTTAGGCCTTGTCCGCGAGTTTCGATTTCGAAGAATATTTTGTGTTTGGTGGGAGGCCTTTCTTTCGACTGAAGGTGTGTGTCTCCGTCCTTTTCGATGAAGAAACTCCAACTCTGACTTGCATCGATCGTGTGGATCAACGCGTGCGCATGTGAGTTGTAGGCCTAGGGCCTCAAATGGAAACTTCGGGGTTTTTTTTTTTTAATTCGGCCCGATCATCGGCGGGCTTAACTGCGGATTGCTCGTGGATTTGATCGGCAGGCCTAGCGAGTTGGTACAGACATTGGCTTGAGTATTTACAGTTTTTTTTTTAATTTTATTTTATAGGAAAACTTGTCATTCCCTCAAAGGGGTTGAAAAGGTGAGCAATGGCCAATCTGACCTTTTCGGACCTCAAACGCGCCAGGGAATCCTAAAGCAGAGCTACAAATGCGGTTTTAGGTTTTGGATTTCTTATTGGGAAAACTCTTCCTGTAATTGTGAGATGAGCTCTCATTCATTTAAGGCGCTGGTGGCAAGTAGCACTGGCAAGTATAAATGATTTGTTGGATTTCCGCGAAGGCAAAATCAACCAGATGGAAAAAAAAAAAAAACAAGAAAGACTCTTGACATCTATCTTTCCCTGGAAGAAACGCTAGTTCTGCAGATGTTAGTATGTTTGTAGGCTGGTTTCTATTGTAAGGCCGTGTGAATTCATTCCCTGCCATGTCCTGTCCCACATTAACTAATGCATGATTTTTCTTAATTTGCACCTTTGGCATTCTTGGAACCAAATGGATACATTGAAAATAGCTTATTTCCGAAAGGAATACTATGGAAATGGAAACGATGCCCCCCCCCCCCTCCCTTTCCTTGCCTTTTTTTGCTGTTCTTTAATGCATGGATGCGTATATTTTAAATTATATTTAGTTTTTGTCAACAAAAAAAAACCAAATTGACTCAACCATTGACCTCAATGCAAAAATTGGTCTGGAGACTCATTCTGGTGAGGTTCCATTGGGGATGACCGAAGTCATGACCTCAATGACCCTTTCAAGGCGCGCCGAACTGTCTATATCAGGGGTGTCAGACATACGGCCCGCGGGCCGGATCCGGCCCGCGGAGGTGGTTCATCCGGCCCGCCACCTGTTCCTGAAATTTCCGCTTGGATTGACTGATAGCACAAATTTCGAAGGATAAGGAATGCGGCCCGCCGACCGATTTGAGTTTGTCACCCCTGGTCTATATATTTTACTCTTTTTTTCCGGATGCCTTGGTAATGCCGGTTCAGAGCGCTTGATCGAATCCCGTCTCGAGGCGACATCTGTAGTTTCAATGATGTAAACCGAGTTGCAGTAGTCGATTGGCAGAAGTCAGGTGAGAGCGTTGGTCTCGATCTCCCCGAGGAACGACGGAAGTGAGCTTTCGTCGAGGCGAAAAGTTGAGTAACTTTTTGCACATAATTAGATATATAATTGCACAAAATTAATTATAAAATAATTCTCTTCCGATTGAAGGAATCGACTGAAGCCTTTCCTCGGGGTCTCTCCTCGCGCTTTGGGTCGGATTCCGCCTTTTTCGTGCTCCAGGTGACCGCAAGGAGGGGAAGGAGATTATAAATAAACGGGGAGAAGCGCGTGCCCAGTGGGCAGGGCCGATCCCCGGTTCCGCGGGGAAGATAATGAATGAATTGTGGACGAATAGAGATGAGGAGGAAATATTTTTGGCACCTTTCCCTCCGGGCCTCGGCATCACCATTACTTCTGTATTTACTCTTCGCGGAAAAAATTCCGGTAGCCTTTAACGCTTTCTTTCCAGTCATAATTCATGGTCGGTTTATCAGATCCTGGGCGCGGCAATTAGAAGCCCTCATAAATTAAAATATTTTCCTCTCTCTTTTTTTTCTTCTCGAAATGCAAATGTCGAGTGGATTTAGGGTCCTTCCTCCCGTTTTTCACCCGGAATAGTCGGGAGATAAAAAAAAAAGGGGGGGCGCGGGGGGGGGGGGGGGGGGGCCTG